ATGTGTATTTAGGGATTTGCCATAGTTTCGAGCAGTGACATGATTTTTTATCATTTTTAAATATTTGGATGTGTAAAAATTGCTCATTTGGGTTGAAATTTTCAGGAATAACCTGAAATCAGTCTCCGACATCATACGTCAAGTTTGGGGTCAAAAGATTGAATGGTTCTCTCTTTGGGGTGAAAAATGTGTATTTAGGGATGTGCCGTAGTGTTGTGCAGTTACATGATTTTCTATCATTTTCCTATATTTGGATGTGTAAAAATTGATCATTTGGGTTGAAATTTTCAGGAATAACGTGACATCAGTCTCCGACATCATACGTCAAGTTTGGGGTCAAAAGATTGAACGGTTTAATTTTTAGGGTGAAAAATGTGTATTTAGGGATTTGCCATAGTTCCGACAAGTTACATGATTTTTTATCATTTTCCTGTATTTGGGTTTGTAAAAATTCATCAATTGTGTTAAAATTGTCAGGAATAACCCGAAGTCAGTCTCCAACATCATACGTCAAGTTTGGGGTCAAAAGATTGAATGGTTCTCTCTTTGGGGTGAAAAATGTGTATTTAGGGATTCGCCATAGTGCTGTGCAGTTACATGATTTTCTATCATTTTCATATATTTAGATGTGAAGAAATTGATCATTTGCACCTGAACAAAGAGTGAACAAAGAGCTTCCATTTGATGGTAGTTTTGATCCAAATACATTAAAAAAATTGTTGTAAATATGTTCAGTCATACACAGCCTTGACCATGGCTTTTATGTTCTAGAGACCCATGCAATGCAGCGTTCTTTTCAGGAAGCTGATACTGGCAGTTTTGTAATGCAGACAAACAATACAGTTCCAGGGCATATTGTACACAACAGTGATGTCAAGGCCTGTGGAAAAACCACATCCCTTGAAGCAAGGAGTGGGCTATCCATTCAGGGGATACTTTGACTTGTCTGGACAGGATGGAGCTGTGCAACGTCTGCGAGCCTGTTCCATACTTTAAAAGGGGGCATCTGAAATTGTAATGAAAGCAAACTCTGATTAAATATACAATTTTCAAGTTTTCTGATTCTGATTAAGTCTCTGGGCATCATGTGTACTTGAGTGTACCCTCTCAGATGAATTGGAAAAGTTTTCTTTTTTAACTTGTGATTGTACAATTAATCATGTACTGGAATGAACCTGTCACTTGTCACTTTTCATCTCAGGTATCACCTTCTATTTTATGGACAAAAATGATACGCTTTTTTGTGGAAATAGCTTTACCCACATGTAATCATAAAAAGCATGCTATCTAAATCTGTACATGTCCATGTATAATGGCAATCTCTTATTCCTCCATTGTTCAACACGACTCATTCGAGATAAAAATATGCAAACACAGTGAAAGACAACATTGGTTTTCTGTGAGTGCAGTATGTTTACATGCCTGGCTGAAAACGTTCCCCACAAAGCTGTACAAACGGGTATGTATGGACTTTCTGCATTACCTATGTACATGTAGTCTAGATGTACGTATGGTATGTAGGTTTTTGGTACATTTTTGTTGTTCACCCTCCTCCTGTTCCTCTTCTGACCAGCCTACCATTCAGCAACCGTGGCCACATGAAGCCCAAAGGTGCGCACAGCTAGCATGATGCATAAGTGTCATCACAAGCAAACCATACACACAGCAGTATTAAGGTTTTTTGGCGGGCATAATGGACCTCATCCCTTGAAATTATGCAAAGTGGGATAATCCATACATGCCTAGCAGGCATTAAATTTTTGTCATTGTTAAATGAGCATGCCAATGGCATGTGACCTTTGCTGGGCTATGCATGATTCGAGGCCATATCAAATCTTGCTAGGGGGCAGGAATAATAATTAACCACTTCCTGCTGGGGACTCCGGGATCGGAGACGTATGGTTTATATGGGTGGCCGGGGTCTCCGAACTCGGACAAAGGAAAGAGGGCCCTGTAACAAAAGACCGTACTCTGAACA